ACATTTATCCAAATCGCGATACTTTGTCTATTTACCACTTGCACAAAGAATCAAACTATTCACTTCATAAAGAAAAACTTCATTTCGTTTTCTAACAGTGGCACGTCTGTCTCTTTTTTTTTTTTGACAAACCCCGTACTCCATTGTTTGTACAAAAACAAATATATTTTATTTGAATCATTTACACCAATTTAAGAAAATCAAATACCGAATTCGTCGTTTTATTACACTTGCAACTTACTCTCACCGCTTAAAAGTTATTTATTGCACATATAAATACTTATTTCAGTGCCTAATATGTTCATTTTAACACATTATCAACAGAATGAATGGCAGTTGAACAGATGTCTAAGATTGCTGAAAAGATTTTTAAAATAATAGGCAAAGAAACCTATGTTAAAATTAATAACACACAGTTGAACGATGGTTCGTTATATCTGACAATATTTGGTAACGAAATTTCTTAGAATAAAATATAAGCATGACATAACATACGTTGCGAATGGTAGAAACGGTAAATCTTCCCAGTCTGTTAAGTAACTTCTAAATTATACATCGTATGAAAAATTCTTACATAAAAATTGAATTACATAAAATTGAATGGTTACAAGACGGGCGCTAGATTGTATAAATAACTTTTTCATAAATGACGTAATTGGGTGGATTTAAAGATCAAATTATTTGTTTTTTTTTCATAAAACGTCACAGTTTTCACAATTAAGTTTTAAAGAATATCGAATTCTAAGTAAAATTATGTTAAACTATTACCGGCCCTAAGCACAATAGGTAACGCGATATTTTTCTTGGTTTCTTAAAAATTTGATTTACATAAAATTATCAAAAATTCCAGTAAAACAGCGGTAATATTTATATGATAATTATGTATGATATGTGATAATATGGTATTCCCCCTTTTCTTTATCCTTTTTATACCTTTCCATATAAATCTATATTAACCCTTCGTAGGCAATCTGGATCGTTGAGGACCCAAGCGAAATTTCATTCTTGTATTTCTTCGAAACGAATTTTTGTTTTCGACTTTGATAAGTATATCAGAATTTTTTCAGATTTTTTAGACTTGGACATAAACGGCCCAGTTTGTCTGCGGAATGTAAAAAAATATGTTTGCTTACAGAGGGTTAAAATAGACGATGATATATTTTTCTGCGAGGAAAATTAGCAACGAAATTTTGTAAACCTGTGAGTTAAAGTGAACATCGTTTGTTTAAATCGTCATGTGAGACAACTGGATAGTTGCACGCGCGATACCGTTTTTTTTTTTTAGAAAGTTATCACAGAACATGCAACAAATCGTAATATGAATCAAATTAAAGTTACATGTGCACTATCGCTCGAAAGTTTGGAACGTGTTATGATTTCAGAACAAACAAAGTTTCCCGTAAGTAAATAAGTGTTTTATTGAAAATATTATTCTGCCATAGCAATGAAACTGTACGTAATTACAATAGAAGGTGAAAATTATAATTATTTTGCACTTATAATTTAGAAAAACGGTATAAATTTAAAGAAGCGTTTTTTTCGCAGAAGAATCCTCTTGTGTTTTATACGACCGCTTCACATAATTTCGCCCAAGCTATCAAGATCTATTTTAGATGTTCGGCACTCTTTTTATATTCCTGTCCAATTCATCCCACAGAAACTCAGTCGGATTAAAATTTCAACCTTACATCGTACTTGTGTAATATTATTTTAACGTATAAGTATAACATTTCTACTACAAGTACTGCATAAACTCAGTCGGATTAAAATTTCAACCTTACATCGTACTTGTGTAATATTATTTTAACGTATAACATTTCTACTACAAGTACTGCATATATACACTACCGGCCAAGAGTTTGGAATCACCGAGCATTGCAATTTGCACAAAAATTTCCAGAAAAAAGTCAACGACTTTGAGAATTTTTAAGAACTTTGGGATAAATTGATAAAGGTAGAATTGAGATAAACTTCAAATCTATAAAAAATTAGCAGCAGATTTAATATTGATGAAAAGTGGGAGGTGATTCCAGACTTTTGGCCGGTAGTGTATGTATGAAAAAAATTTTGTCCGAATAACAAATAGCGCTGTAAACTTTTGGTACTTAACGAAGTTCAGAGTGATAAAGCTATTTCCCTTGATAGTATATTCTTACTTACCTGAATGAAAGAACGTCAAGAAGGAAATAAAATATTTTAAGTTCATTTCAAATGTATGCACAAATAATAGAATCGGTGTTTTCGCCCAGTGATACTACGTGGACGATAATCTGCACACAACTGACCTTCCTCACAAAATTTCACAGTAACAACCAACATATTCAACCACAGAGTTTGCACCGGCCACTACTGAATTAATAGACTATGCTTTTACTATCCGTATGTTGGTGCAGATATAGACACCGGGCACGCATGTAGATATTTCAATGGCTTTATTACATGTAGAACAAAGGA